AAACCCAGAACTTTAAGTATTTATTAACATCCCAACAGACAACCTTAACCTTTAAAGGACACAGAAGTTGATAAAGGTCCTCATAACACTTGAGGCACTAGAAGGAAGAACGTAAAAACTTTAAAATCCTTCATAATTTGTCCAAATACACTGTAGAGCTTTTGTTCAGCTATACAAAGTATGTGTTTCACTTTGATATCTTATCATAAAAGTTATAAATATCAAAGCATTTCCCTTCTGGCCAATCAATGGGATCAACTTTCCCAGAAAAAAACAGACAGATCAACAATACAGTACTTTCCACAATTTCCCAGTTTGTGATCAATAAAGTAATTCTATTCTATTGCCAAAGGACACTTATCTATTCCTTTGACGCGGGGAAATCATGTGTTTTTTTTCTCATGAGAGGCATTTTGTAGTTGGTTGAGTTCAAACATCAATAAGTGCTTGTCCCTCCACTTTCTTTTTAAGTTAAGCTCCTGTGAGGCTCTTTTAGCTGGTAATGAAACATACTGATGGTTCTTTATGACCTAGAGAAGCAAACAAGTCAATCACAAATATGACTGATTATTTCTCTAAAGTTTTTTATTTTAATGTCTGTCCCCTCTGTCAACGAGTCGCTGTCAGTCAAGTCAGTTATGTTTTCCATTCCAAATATTTGCAGTCATTTTTAGTTTTGAAGGTTAGTAGGAATTTGAATGTTTTCATCAGAACACAATGTATGCATGTACAGGACAAGATCAGCAAAGAGATCATTAATACCACTTTGTCCACCTGGGGTCACTAAGACTGACTCCAAATGAATGTTTAAAGTAGCTTTAAAACCTGACTCATAGGCGTGAAATCCTGCAGACAAAGTTGCTATTCCAGCAATGGTAACAACTGCCTGAAGAATACGGTAAAAAAAGGGAAAGATTGAGAGAGACACATGTCAATATCGGTCACTGAGAGATGGTGGATCGACTGCATCAGCCAGTAGGTTGACTTTGCCATTGTTCAGGTACAAAATTCAATTTGTGATAACATCTAAATATCAAAGCTATCCGGGTTAACTCGTTAATCACAATGTGATTAAGGACAGAAATTAAAGCATACATTTGATTTTACCCCTTTAATCGCATGCTATTTTGTCAATTCAGGCAAATCTTCCCCAGCGTCTCCCTGTAGTGACAGTGATGGGAAAAAAAGACGACTGCAATGTGACTCTGAATTGCACATTTCACTTAAAAATCCTCAGTTGATGAATCAAAAGTATTATCCACATGGTGACATCGAAGCTCCCTTCTTTAACCGTTCCCTTTAGCTAGTCGGCTGCAATTTACTTTTCAATCTGCAACGAGTTCCTTTTTCCGAGGGTTAAGTAAACGTCCTAACCTCCGATCCACTGGAAGTTCCTCATTTTGTTTCAAAATAAAAGCATGTTTGTATCCCAACAGGAAGTGAAGCACCCTTAACTTGAGACAGAACACACATTTGAAATAAAAGCATAGCAAAACTAGTTTTGAGATGAAAAAATGGAATTACAAACATGGGACTGAATTGCGATCGACGACTGATATTCATCGATTAATCACAAACCCTACTAAATATGTTTAACTGTTTGGTTGGGTTATGTAGTCAGTGCTGTATTTTTCAAATTTCGGCTGCTGTTTTGGGGGCCTACTAAGCGCTACGTAGTTAGCATTTGTTCCCTGATGAAACCTTGACAGCTTCAAATTGACCTGGTGAGTCATAATTGAGGAAAAAGTCAAAGGGATCGCTTCAGTCAGTAGAATCCTGACTGAAGGATCCTTAGGAGCAAATGATTGTCTGTACAGCATTTCAAGGCTGTCCATCCAATAGTCCGTAAGAGCTGTTGACCGATTGACAGACTTCCAATTAAGTGGCCATCCTTGGAGCCATGCTGCTTTTGTGTAAAAAAACAAACAAACTATACTTATATGACACTGCAGAAAGGGAAAGGCATCACCTCTGTCGGGAGAAAAAGCAGCTGTAAAGAGACAAAGAGATTGCTCCCACATCTGACCATTAAAGAAATATATATCATCGGCAGTGACAAATGCCGTTACAACGTATTCCACAGCAGCACAGGAGGATACACAAAATAAATCAGCAGTTCAAGAAAAACTTGTTTCAGACGTGCTCATTTGGGGTTTTCCAATAAGTCACCCAGCTGAGATTCCAACTGGGAGCGGCCCATTATCGCTGTGTTCAGACAAATGTAACATATGGACTACCTGGTGGTGACTGAGTTGAGCTGAAAGTCTGAATACATTTCTCAAGCGTCTGGAGAATTTCCCCCATGTGCCTGTGTGTGTGTGTGTGGATGTTTGTGTGGATGTGTGTAGCCCGCAATGTCTGTGTGCACTGATGGGTTCAAAGAAAAACCCATAATTTTTCTGTAAGAGTGATAGTTCATATAATCCTAAAGCAGTCAAAATGATTCATAATAGCTGCTTTACATCAATAGACTGATGTTTATCATATGATCAATAGAGCGATGTTTATCCCATGAGATTTTGTAATGGATATGATTGCTGTAAAACAGCCATTATATCAAAGAGACGTACTATTCTGCACACCAGACATACACACGGCACGCTCAGTCACACCAATAGGAGCAGGTGATAATAGGCCTATTCTTTATGCGAGGTCATGAATAATTCAAAATCCATGTGCTCAAACAGATTCTCGAGGTTGACAGAATAATATGACAGATTCTGCAGCCGCTATTAGACGAGGAAAGATCACAAATGTTTTAGAGATTCTAGCAGTGGATAAATTGATCTGTGGTGTTTGTGTGACTGATAAGGCTCTCTAAACGCGGGCAATATATATATATATATATAAGACATTTTAGAAAACCCCAAAGGCTTCATAAACGCACTGTGTGTAAATGCACAGTTCTTGCCATAGCCTTTCAGTGTCTTATGCACATAGCGATGTGTCATTTCTTTAATTTGCACATGAGGAACATCATCATGCTTGAACACCAACAAAGACAACATGATGTCATTCAAATCTTTATTCATATTAAACATTCAACCCCTTGCAAGGAAAATCCATTTTCATAGAAAACATCACACTGTCACTGTAATTGCAACACAATGCACATTATTTGGCTCTAAATCTGTCTTCCTAGTCGTGCCATTATTTCTAATATAAATTTGACAACATGGGACCACATTTTCACCCGGATTTCATCGTATCTCCAGGCTGCAAAAAAAAAATCACCAAACATGCAGGGTGCAAATTTGGAAATGTGTTATGGCAGCAGTCCTGACGCCTGGCAATTGGCCTCCCCATGAGTCAGTGGAGAGATGCTTATTGTAGCTCTTTGTCCAATAAGGCTTTGCATGACTTCCTTCCTCCTTCTTAGCTTACTGATTCAGGAAGCTCCCTTAACGCTAAAGACTTCATTATGGCGTGGAAAGTGGGCAGGCTCGAGGTCACCCCTGATGCTCCACTCATTGCCTGGGGAAGACTGGAATTAGAAAGCTCGAGCAGGCGCGGGCCACGGCGACCAACTGCTCCGAATGACTCCAATCTCTTTTATAAGTTTGGCAGCAGATTAACAGCGTTGTAAACGCTGCTTGGTACAGGATGTCGGGGTTATAAACAAGTTCTTTCAGTTTCTCGCCCTGCTGCTGTGGCTGATAGGCTCTCTCTCTCTCTGTGTGTGTGTGTGTGTGTGTGTGCAGTTTCTGGAGCATTCTTAGCAACACTTTATGCTGAAACTTCCTGGAAATAAATAAACAAATAGGCTCTTCATGCAGCATCTGCTCACATGGAACGCATTCAGTCGAGGCCTGAATGAGACGGCCAGGCTAATGAGAGTTAACTGTGCACAGCAAAATGATTAGAGCAGCTGACCCAACCCTCCAAAAAACAGAGAGGGAAAGGGGGAGGAGAGAAACATGGTGAAAATATTCTTTGGGAACAATTGCTTCTATCGACACGGCTTAAGCATTTGCACTTGTTTGATGAATATGCAAATCATTCTATATATGCAAATGAACTAAGCTCCAACGCATGTGAAGGTCATGCACATTCATTTCTCATTTTTATTATTCAAAAGGACAATAATTAAGATTTCCAATGCATTATTTGCTCCCGTTAAAAAAAGATCCCATCATCAATAAAAGGAGCAGCGTGATCAGCAGGCGATTCACACGTTTGCACTAACTCCACATGCCCATCAGAGCTCCATTCTTCAGCCAATAGGCAATGAAGGCTGTATTGCAAAGCCATTGCTGCTGCATTGTCGGCGACCAACTGCTGAAGGCTGGAGGTTACAGAGGATTTAATTGACTGTTGATTATGAAATGAATCCATCAGGGCAACACATTCAATTCAGTTCAATTCAATTCAAGGATAAATATCTTCATCGCCTTTAAGAGGTGCTTGTATTCCTCGAGTAGCTCATAAATACCCCTCACCCTTACCTTGGATATACTGAAGTCTACACGCATGCATTCCCCTGCAGAGTAAACATGCCTAAGAAGAAGAAGATGGGGGGGGGGGGGCAAACACAGAAGGTTTGAGCTGCACCTGAAAAAGTGCAAAAAGCTACAACTTCCCCAAAGAGAGCACAAGTTGACACATTGAGTATGAATTCTTCCAGCAGCATGAAGGAGGAGAACAGGAGGACACGCAGCGCACAAATCACCACCAAGCAGTGAAGAAGTCAAAACAAGAGCGGCTGTCACCCATCAGGAGAGGAGGGAAACATTAGAGCTTTCAGATCCCACTGTCTGAGCTTTTTATCATCATTCTTCTCCCTTATGACAAAAAAAAAAGTCCATAAAGTATAGTCCTGTTCTGGAGTGAGCTGCAGCGACGTTGTCTGAGCACAACTGAGAGAGGGTCCAGTTCAGGGGGGGAAACCCTTTTGACTCGAATTAAGGGGAGGCATACATGAGGATAAAGAAAAAAAAAAAAAAGGAAGGAAGGAGGAGGGCAGGGAAGAAAGTATTGGTGGTGCCAGACGCAGCGGCAGTAAGAAGCGTACGTACGTGCTTTATCTCAGCGGCTGAGTGTGTGACGTGATATTGCAGCCTTGCTCCTGGAGCTCTGCAAGCAGCGAGCAAAGCGCGTCTATTTCTCTCTCTGTTGTAACTCACTAGCCCCCCAACATCTCACATCCACCCACTACGGATCTTTTTTTTTTTTCAATCCTCCCCCCTTTTTTTCCAAAGGGGGGGTTTGCGCGACTTGCAGGAAAAGCGGAAAAAAAGGCATATCAGTGGGAATAGAAATAGAAACGTGAAGGAATTAATTCATGGTAATACTGTAAGAATTGCTCTCTCTTCTTTTCACCACTCCAAGAATTTCTTCCTCTCTCTGGGTGTCTCTCTCGGTCTTTCTCCCCCCATTTCTCTCTCTCTCTCTCTCTCTTTTCTCTCTCCCCTCTTTCTCGGTGGCTGGCGTTGTGTTGTTGCGCTCCGTTTTGATGGGAAAAACCCAGAAGAAGAAGAAGAAGACGGGGGGATATGAGCGGGCAGACCGGACTGTAACGCATTTTATTTTCATCCATTGAAGCATCTTGTTGCGCCGGACTTCTATCGTCGGGAATGGGGAGTATCGATTCACTGGAGGGCTGCAGAATTTATTTATGAAGGATGTGGTCAAGTATGTTGGGAAAATAGCCATAGCTTCCGCAGTGTAAGGTAAGATTATTATATTATTCTTTTCATATTATTATGATCATTTCATGGAGTTCATTTTCATGCGCCATCCGCCAGTCAAAGTTTCGCCTCCCCGTGTTAAATGTGTGTCCTGTCTATTCAACATGATGGCTTTGGAGCTTTCATCCGCTCGTATTAGTGCAGGGTGCTTAACAGATGATTTTAAAGAGCTGATCTCTCTCTTAAGAGGCAAAAATCACTTTAAAGCGCCGAGCGTCGAACTGACACTGCATGAGATGGAGCCCGTGTCTCCATATTCAGATGTCCTCTCGAGACGAAATTGCTCTTAGAAGCCCCGGCAATATAATCAGCGTCTCTTGACGACCCGTTTTCTCGTCTCCAGAATACTGATTTTCTTTTTTTTTACCCCCCCCCCCCCCCCTTGTGCAGCCGTGGCCGTGAATCTTGCGGGGAGTGATGTGGAATTGTATGGATTTATCGCCGACTAAAAGCTGATCTCACTCAACAATGCTCCCGCAAATCTTTATGTAACACGTTTATTATCCTAACGTGCTGTGACGCGCAGCTTTTATCAATCAAAAAAAAAAAAAAAAAAGGGGAAATAAGTTAAGAGACAAAAGTGCGAATCTATCTCTTCTCCAGACTCCGGTATCGATAGCCTACTTGGGATTTCAACGCCTACACACACATGCACATGCACACACAGTTTGGGACACGCACGCACGCACGCACGCACGCACTGCTGTGTGACACTGCTCACAGCTGCATTGCCTGTAGGATTAAAGCAATCAGGACATCGCATTGCATTCTCTCTCTCTCTCTCTCTCTCTTTCGCTCTCTCTCCATCTCGCACACTAACACACCAAGAGGCGCGCACGGCACGCACTCACGCAGGCATGCCAGCTCAAACACACAAAACCAGGCTACATGCACACACACACACAGAGACACACACACTGGCTCTTTATCAAATTGCATTGTCAAATATGTCAAGCCACGGAATTTTTGGAGACATGCAAGTCGTAGTGGAGCGAAAGCGCGCATAAAAAGGAGAGGTAGAGGGAGAAGCCACGGTGACCATGCAGACAGACAGGACGCATAGACATTTTTCAGTCTGTTGATTTGTCTCCCCTCGTGTTATCTAACTGTCGTGAGAGGGAGAAGCAGACTAAATCACGAAGAAAACAGCTTGATTTGGACAAAAAAAAAAGAGAAAAGGATCCTGGTTACTGCGTAAAAATGAGCAGTTGCATGCCACAGCTCGTGAGCACTGCACTGACTTTGATTCCTGACTGTTTCTTTATGAAGTCAAACAGCTTTATCTGAATATATCTTAAATCATTGTGCCATACCAAATACGACCCAATTGTAAATGTCTAAATAAATGACTCACATTATTTGCACCCCCCCCCCCCCCCCCCCCCCCTCTTATTAAATAAATAAATAATGGCAGAATCAACCACAAGGTGGCAATGTTTGCACAAAGTAAAGTAATAAAGGAGCCAGGATGGGAGAGCAAAAGACATGTTGCTGGGGTTAATGTGTCTCTCTCTCTTTTTTTTTTTACCATTCTCATGGTCGGATGTGATAAGAAATGTGTGGAGCACATCAATCACACTCCAAAGCCATCATCTATCATGCATCGTGTGTCCTCTGATTTAAAAATCCCTCTGTGTGACTCTCTCCATCTCTCCCCCCCGCAGGCCAAATGACATAGGATGAAGGCTGTTCGAAACCTGTTGATTTATATATTTTCCACCTATCTTCTGGTTATGTTTGGATTAACTGGTGCCCAAGATTATTGGTGTTCCACTCTGGTCAAGGGGGTGATTTATGGATCATACTCGGTGACTGAAATGTTTCCTAAAAACTATACAAACTGTACATGGACGCTGGAGAACCCAGACCCTACCAAATACAGCATCTACCTGAAGCTATACAAGCGAGACTTGAGCTGCTCCGAGTATTCTTTGCTCGCTTATCAGTTTGATCACTACTCGCACGAGAAGATCAACGAGTTGCTGAAAGTCAACGAGTCTATAGTGTACCTGTGCGATACAAAGAATATTTATGTATTTTTGCTGTATGACAAGAATTTTGTTCAACTCCGGAGAGTTTTCCCTTATGATTATAACGGATTGACGCCGCAGAAGCTGGATGAGGAGGAGAAGTCCATTGTGGAGTTTCTGGTGCTGAATAAGGCCAGCCCCAGCCAGTTTGGGTGTCAAGTGCTTTGTACATGGCTGGAAAACTGCCTGAAACTAGAGAAAGGGACGGTGGAGACGTGTGGGATCGTGTACTCAAAGTGCACATGTCCTCAGCATTTAGGCGATGGAGAATCAGAGAGCATGCTCATGCTCAACAACGTGGTTTTACCTTTAAATCCACAAACAGAGGGATGCTTGTCACCCCAGCTACAAGCCGGGCAGGTCTGCAATCTGAGTGCAGAAGTGAAACGGCCTCCAAAAGAAGGTGAGTATCCACTCATCTTCCTCCCTGATGCTGACATAGATGTAGACGTAAATGGATTTAAATGTATGCATAGATAAGATAAGTTCTCTTGTCAGTAAAAATGTGCACGTCAATCACTCCCTTCTCTGCCCTTATTGCATGTTTGAAGTGTGATGGCCCATGAAACAAAGAGCACACATAGATCTATAGACTGCAGTTGGCTCAGGAATGAGTCAAAGCTGCCAGAGGAGTTGGGTGTAGTAAAGACCACGGCAGCACAAAACCAAATCCACATAAAAAAAAAAAAGGGGGTATTTTTATTCGGTTGGACTGAATTCAAAATGCACTATCATTGCTGTGAATTTAAAATGGCTGTTTTTTTTTTCTTTCTACACATAAGCTCAGAGTTAAAATGGCTGCAAATCCAAAGATTATTTCCGTGTGTAATATATATACATTTATGTCATCCTCTTAAGACAAACATTGTGCCAATAGTGGACACGTCTTTTGGCATGTCTCCCATGGCACGTTGGAACAATTGGGATCGTGAATGCAGCAGCGTCAGATTTGGATCACATTGCTCATGCAATGCAACTAACATTAAAATACTAATGCTTAAACCTATTTGGCTTGATCTGATTGGATAAACGACTACTCCTAAAGCGGATATTTACATAAAGGAAGGGCTATACTTGTCCAGTGTTGCCATAGAGCAATGCAACGTGTTTTGTTGGAATTGAGCAATCATGAATATAAAGTTCAGAGCTTTCAGAAGAAAATGGTGTAATCTGCAGACCTGCTTGTAATGCACACATGAGTATTTGCATATACCTATAACATCTGTACATGCACACACAGCCACTTGTAGACAGCTGAATGAACACTGCACGGTAAACGTTTGTGATGAGGTCGTTATGATTTCGTTCATTAGTGTCACCAGGTAGCACGGGGAGTTTTTGTAGTTAACACACTCGTGTAGCTCTTTGAATTTACAAAGGGAGCCCCTGCCTGACACATAGCTGCTTGCATTAAAACAGATAGCAAAAGAAAAACCCCAGAGGAATGTTCACTGCATACTTCCTTCTGAGGTGAGGTGCATTTACCGGGAGACACAAAGGAGGGGCATTCATCATGGCACTCTGAACCAAAAAATAATGAGACAACCTTTTGGAATTTTTTGGGGGGAAAGAAACAAAAGGCACAAAATGCTCCGCAGCTTTAACTTCCTAAAATAACAGTTGCTATAATAGAACCCCGGAGAACAGGAGGCTGATTTCTAAATCTAAAAGAACAGGGTGATGATCGATTATAGCACTTCTTCAGCTGTTTGCTGCATCACACTTTCAGGCATATTTGAACAGGATTTTTTTTTTGTCTAGAAACATCCTGCTAAGCTACCACCACCACCACGCCTTGGGTATTTTTAGCACTTTTGTAAGAGTTACTCTTGCTCTAAATTTACCACATGATTTATTAAGTGGTTAGCCTCCATCAAGTTGGATGACAAACTCATTTTAAGTATCGTTCACCTACCCTTTCAGTAGAGCCCTTGAGCAATAATGCATGCAGTCACTGATTCAAATTACCATTACAACTCGCCCTGCGGTCAAGTAGCATGTGCAGTAACAAGCAGAGAGGATGACTCAGCTGTCTTTTTTTTTTTAATCCCATCAATTAATGAATCTGATGTTTCAAATCACAACTAGGAAGCATTTTTTTGTCAACACAAACAAGAAAACTCCCTCCTCCCCCCCCCCAAATAACATTTGACATTTTTCTATCAGCATGTTAATAACAGCTTAAGAGCACAGCTTATTTTTTTTTTCCTCCTCTCAGAAGATTTTCCACAAGCTTCTATTTATAGGGAGGGTTGATGGGAGGTTTGAATAAATCCGTTTTTATCTGGATAACGCGGGGGGGGGGGGGGGGGGAGAGAGAGATCACCACCAGGTTTAAAAGAGCACTGTGTCTCCCGTGGCATCACGGTGACCGAGTGGGTGTTCCTGATGAAGAGCAAAGCATTACAAAACCGTCGACAAGGGCCCCATTTGATAAAATCGCCCGTCTTTGATCTTCTCAGTTCCTGGTAGAGAGGGGTGGCGTCAGAGCACATCAAAGAACAGCAGAAGCTCGAGGTTGTATACTCCACCGCCACCGAAATGCCCAACCGGCCCTTTCAAACTCACTGAGAATGACAAACACTTCAAAGGTTACTGCTTCACTATACCAGGTGATTATGCACACAAAGGACAGAGCTCATACCTTGATATTGTTGCCATCTTAAAATGAAAAAAACACAGTGACTAAATAAAACCTGAAACAGATGTACTACTCGGATGAGTCATTTATGCAGTTTTATCCCATTTTATGAATAAAAGTTGTAAAAAGGAAGCAGCTCAGTGGCATTCTAGTAAGACAGATTTAATTCCCTTCTACTGCTTTCGTGTGGGTTTCCTTTCCTCCCACATCCCACACATGCAAGTCAAGTAGGCTGATGACTGTGATCTGCCCATAGGTGAATGAGTGACTGTCTGCTCTTGGAATGACGAGTCCTGGCTGTGTCAGGCTTCAAATCCAGTGACTGCTCAGATTCGGGAATTGTGAATCAGATTTTTCAAAAGGGGGGCAAATTAAAAAAAAGAAAAGAAGGTAAAAGCTGGATAGAAAAAGGTTTTTTCAGCTTTGATTCACCATGACCAATTTCACTTTCACCTGATGCATTCATGTTGAAATGACATGCAGAGAGAGGGACTACAGCAGAAAGCTGACATTGTATACTCTCCCCCTCACTGAGCTATCGACCCTGTCTCTTTAAATCCTGCGTGTTTACATGAATGCAAGCTTTTAAATCCTCAATGCACAATGTAGCGTTCAAATCATCCGCAAATTGCACTTGGCTCCAGGAAACAAACAACATCATGAGGCATTGTCTTGCATTGTGGCTTAGTGTTACCGGACCGCCCTTGGCTTAGGAAAAGTGTGTCATTTTTTTTTTTTTTTGTCCCGTTGTGTCGCCAGTTTTCCAAAACATCAGGGTCAAGGAGTTTCATTGTCTGACAGCATTGTTGCATGTCCTCCGAGGATTTCCCTGATAATGAAGCCTGTCGCTACAAGATTCATCACAATACCAGAATTTTAAACTTAGATTGGATACTAGTGCATATCAAAACAGGTTTTGATATCAAATCAACAAAAATAGAAGTCCTTGTCCCCTAGTATTGGGGGATTTCTTGTTTTGTAATTACGAAAAATTGCAGACAAACTCCTGAACACATTCTAAATTGCACAAACACACTGGCAATGCCACAGTGTCAACTTTGCTGTAACCTCCTCTGCTGTCATAGAAATACTCTTTTCCATCTTTTTGAGACACAAAGGGGGCTTGATAAATGTCATTATTAGCCAACATTTCAATTTGACACGACAACAGCTGCACTCTGTTTCTCTGTTGCAGCAGCGTTGGGTTAAAATGATGACTGAAGATCAGATTTTTTTTTACTTTGGTACTATTTTATACTATCAGTCATTAAAATAACAAATATTGTTGTTTTAAATCGTTACTTGTTACTTTTCAAAAAAGATGAAAAGTATCTTCATTTTTGACAACCTCAGTCACAATATCAGTTTCTGCTTCCTGAAATATTGTCACTGCAAAGCCTAATTCATAAAAAAACACTTTTTTTCAAATAAAAATCCGAAAATGGTTCATTCCAACGTTTTATTTTGATTCTGTCAGATATCCCGGCTCATATAACCGCGCTCATCTCTGCCCACGCTTGCCATTTCCTGTTGTCACCGACTTGTAGGTAAGAGTGGAAAAAGATGACAAACGTGGCAGTGGCAGTGAGATGCTTAGCTGGAGATAAGGGGTTTTATAATTTGGTTCAGAATCAGATAACGATACACAGAACTGAAGCTCATATTGATGTAAAATATTCCAATACATATTTTATGAGTCCACAGAGTGGGCCTCTGGATTCATTGTTAGTACAAGAAGTAGGTTAGAAATGACATCACACATTTTGAGTCCTGATCCTCTTGATTTCCTCTTGAGTGAAATCATTCACACTTCAGATTTGACTCATGCAGTATGCATCACGGTATCTTATGTACCATATATATCAAGTGTTTATTTTCAACCTTTTTCTTAAACAGCAGTTCTTTAAGTCAACCAGCACTTAACCGACAACGTGGGATTTAAGTGTGACATCTCTTTACAGCTAATATGAAGGTTATATCCTCTATAAGACGCCTTGCAGATGCTTATTTGTACAGTTGCAGATGCTCGTTTTATCATCACAGCTCCTGACGACACAGGCCGTGTGCCATGTGGAAAATGGCAATAGGATTTTATTGGCAAATGAAATGTGTGTGAAGCGTTCTAATGCACTGTCACCCGCCAAAGTCCTGAGCACTGCAGCAGCTCAGCCTCGCCGCCTCACATAGTGAGGCCTTTTATTCACTTTGGATCTCAGTCAAGTCACTCAGTAGTCACACTGCATTATGCTCACCCCCATTGTTCAGTACACTTGGAGGCCATTTTAGTTCCAATTCAGTGAAGGAGGGAGCTCAGCTCAACAGCACAGAATCTGTTTGTTTTATCTTAGACATGCATTATTTGTCTCCAGCTATAGTAAATATCTGGAATATCCAGCGTCTCTAATCCTGGGCTGACTGCCTTTCTCCTCTTTGCTTCTTGGATTTTTGAGATGCTATATTTTCTCCCTGGTGTCGCCTCTGTTTATTCTTCATATTCAACCTCCGGAGGCAGCATGAAAAAATATGTGATACGCTGCAGGACCCTGCGTCGGTGTGAAAGTGACAGCCATCCTATTTGTCTTTGTCAGATTCTGGCTTGTCAAAAAAAAAGAGGATGGTGCAGAATCGTTTGCAGACAGTTCTGAGAAAACGGCTTAAATGAGGTCAAACATTTAACTAAAACTACTTCTCTAAAGATGTGTGACTCTTAGCCAGAGACAAGTCTGGAAGAAAATTAGCAGTTAGTGTCCATATTTGAAATC